TAGTGAAGAAATTTGAAGAAATTTGTATGCCGCTTAAGAATTTAACATTCGAAAGACATTTATTTCATACAAGGAAGCAAAGTCCGTCAGAGTCGATTAGTTCCTTTGTTACAGATTTGAAAACATTGCTCGAAAGTGCGAGTTTGGTGACCTCGAGAGCGAACTTATTAAAGATCGTATTGTGTGTGGGATTAACAGTGATGCAGTAAGAAAGATTCTCCTTCGCGAAACAAGTTTAACTTTAGACAAGGCTCTAAACATATGCAGTGCAAACGAATTGTCGGAACAACAAGTAAAAGATCTTACTAATTATCAAGATGTCGATGAACTGAAGGCTAGGAAGAATTTGAAAACCTCAAGAGGAAGTTACACAAACTTAAGTCAAACAAAAGAAGATAAACATCGAGGACAAAGATTCGTATTAAAGAACAATTGCAGAAACTGTGGAGGAAAACATCTTCCAAAGCAATGCCCAGCTTTTGGAAAAATTTGCCACAAATGTCATAAGAAAAACCACTTTGCTCGGGTGTGTCTAACGTCTACACAAAAGTCACAAAGAACAGTTCATGAAGTTAGTGATGAAGAATTGTTTATTGGTGCTGTTAATGCAATCAAACCTACGCAACAACGCACAAGCTCGAAAGTCGACTATCGAATGAATATTGAAGCTGTAGAAAAAAAGCAATGACGAGTGGTATTCTGAACTCAAGTTTGGCAGACATTTGGTGAACGTGAAGGTGGATACAGGCGCAAAATGTAATGTGCTTTCTAAAAAAATTGTTCGATAAAGTCAAAGAAGCCGAGCAACAAGTTACCAAAACAAATACAAAGCTAATGTCGTATAGTGGAGATTCAGTTCAAACCTTGGGACAAGCAGTGATGACGTGTTCTTACAAAGACAAACGATACAATCTTCTTTTCTACATAGCGACACACGATGTAAAGCCTATTCTTGGTTTACCTGATTGCGAGCGTTTGGGTATGGTGAAAAGAATTAAAGATGTCAAACCTATTTTCACTAGGGACGATATTCTCAATAAATATGCAGATCTCTTCGATGGCAAACTAGGATGTTTACCCATTAAACATCATATCAGTGTCAATCCAAATGTAAAACCTACAATTCATCCTCCTCGACGCGTTCCAGTAGCTATGAGAACGAAAATTAAAGAAGAGTTAGAACGAATGCAACAGATGGGTGTCATCGATCCTGTAGAAAAACCTACGGAATGGGTTTCGTCAATGGTAACAGTGGAAAAACCAAACAAGTTACGAATATGTATTGATCCTAGACATCTTAATGAAGCCATTCAGCGAGAACATTACCCTCTCTTAACAATAGAAGAAGTCGTATCAAGACTACCTGGAGCTAAAATTTTCTCCGTATTCGATGCAGCCTCTGGATTTTGGCAGATACCTCTAGATGAAGATTCCAGTTATCTTACAACATTCAATACGCCTTTTGGCAGATACAAATTCAATCGTCTCCCATTTGGTATATCCTCAGCACCTGAAGTGTTCCAAAAAGCTATGCACCAGCTGTTTGACAGAATAGACGGTTGTGAAATTATAATGGATGATATCTTAGTATGGGGAACAACAGAGAAAGAGCATGATGAAAGAATTATCAATGTGCTGAATAGAGCTCTTGAAATCAATCTCAAATTAAAGAAAAAAAACAAAAGTTAAAGTAACAAATGTAGATTACATGGGACACAAAATAACATCAGATGGTCTTCAATCCGATCCTGAAAAGATTAAAGCAATATTAAACATGCCAATTCCTAAGGATAGGAAAGATCTTCAAAGATTTCTTGGAATGGTTCAATATTTGGCCAAGTTTATTCCTTATCTTTCAGAAATGGCAAGTCCCCTTAGAGATATGTTAAAGAAGGAAAATGATTGGTGCTGGTTAGATCAACATCAAATAGTGTATGACAGAATCAAGAAATCCTGTGGAGAGCAACCTGTATTGCAATTGTACGATGTATCAAAAGATGTGACATTATCCGTAGATGCAAGTATGTCAGGTTTAGGAACAGTTTGTCCTCAAAATGGCAAACCAGTTGCTTATGCATCGAGAGCTTTAACTGAATGCCAAAAGAAATATGCACAAATTGAAAAAGAGTTACTTGCAATTGTATTTGGATGTGAAAAATTTCATGATTACATCTATGGAAGAGATGTCAATGTTGAAACAGATCATAAGCCCTTAGAGCAGATTTTCAAGAAGCCCCTTCATCAATCTCCATTGAGACTCCAGAAAATGTTGCTGAAACTTCAAAAGTACAGTTTGAAAGTCTCGTTTAAGAAAGGAGCAGAACTTTATCTCACGGATCAATTAAGTCGAGCGTATATCCAAGAAGAATCAGATGATCACTTAGAAGATTTTGAGATAAATGTTGTCTTGCCAGTAAGTGAAGAGAAAAATGAACCAATTGAAGGAAGAGACAAAGAAAGATAAAGTAATGAAAATGCTACAACAGTACGTAGAAAATGGATGGCCAGATCTACGCAGTAAAGTCGATTTGGATGTTTTGAATTACTGGGTCTTTAAAGAGACTCTTTTAGTATAAGATGACCTATTGTTTAAAGGGGATCGAGTAATAATTCCTGAGTCATTAAGAACTGATATGTTGAAAACTATACATCAAGGACATTTTGGATCTGAATCACGCAAACGTAGGGCTCGAGAGTGTTTATATTGGCCAAAGATGAGCTTAGAAATAGAAGCAGAAGTTAGAAAGTGTGAAATCTGCAATGCCCATAAGAGACATCAACAAAAGGAGCCTCTACAATCACATACTGTACCACATCGACCGTGGAGTAAAGTTGGAGCAGACCTGTTCGAATTGAATGGTAGAAGCTATCTTCTTATGGTAGACTACTACAGTGTATTCTTTGAAATTGGTTACTTGTTAAATACAACATCAAAGACAGTTATCACAAAGATGAAATCTCAAATTGTGAGGTACGGAATTTTCGAAGATCTTATAACAGATAATGGTCCACAATTCAGGAGTAAAGAATTTCGTGCATTCTCGTCACAGTATGGATTTAAACATACAACAAGTTCACCTGGATATCCAAAAAGTAACGGCATGTCAGAGCGTGCTGTACAGACAGCAAAAGCAATCATAAAGAAAGCAAAATATGATAACACCGATCCTTATTTAGGACTCCATAATTATAGAAATACACCTAGAGATGAAATTATTGGCAGTCCAGCTCAACGACTAATGGGACGAAGAACTAGGACATTACTACCAATATCAGAGAAGTTACTTGACTTTCAACCATTAAACCCTGTTAATGTTCAAGAAAAATTGGGAATGTATCACAAGAAACAAAAAGAGTTTAATGATCGCATTGCAAAAACGCTTCCACCATTAAAAGAAGGAGATAAGGTACGTATAAAAACAGAAAAAGGCTTCCAAAAGAAAGGAATCGTGGAAAAATCGTTACTTGAGCCAAGATCGTATTTGGTTACGTCTGATGGTACCTACTATAGAAGGAATAGAAATCATTTATTAAAGATTAATGAAGAATCGAGAAGTCAAGATACAGATAAGTCTTATAGTGAGAACAATAGATCTTATAAAAATTGTAATGAAAGTACGAACAACAGTAATATAAGAACTCGGTATGGACGTCTAATCAAAAAACCTAATAGATATTCTTATTAGATAAAAAAAAACCGAAGAAAAAGAGATGTGACATTGCATGCCGAATTATATTTATATACTGTAATGACGTAGGTAATTCCTTATCTAATATGCATGTGTAATGTATATAAGAACCTATGTTTATCTAAGCCCGGCATTAAATACAAGACTTATTACACCATCAAATGCTACCTCATATTGCTGCTTGTACTGGTACCAAGCTGTTTGTAAAATCCACCTGTTAAGACAAACAGGCTCAAAACTAGGATGTTGTGTTATGCACAAAGGGACTTCGGTGGTCTCATTCGTTTCTACTGCCTCTACATTTTTTGTCACAAATATTGGAAATCTTTTTGCAGCATAAACATTCCTCGTTATTGTCCATTATTTGGCAGTTACCACATTGACACCTGAATATGTTAAAAGAAAGGATCTTGAAAAGTAAATGTCAAAATTTCAATAAAAATTGTATCTTACAATAAAAACTTTAAAATCTGAAGTATTATCTGAGAAGCGGCAAACGTTCTTTCGAGATCGAAACAATGGTCTAGAATAATATAACATTTTATTACTCACCATTCAAGATTGTCGCGCCGAGATTCATCCTCAATATACACAAATTCCTGTTCTTCGTTGTCCTCAAACTGGTGAGCTTCTTCGTGTTCATCAGCCGGCCATTTGGGCTCAAACTGATATGGCCGAATATTGTTTGCTGGATTGTCTGTTGTAAATTGTCATGTTATGTTATGCAGTGGGTGACTGTGTCATACTTTTGATTATAATATATAACGGATATTATGTTGATGTAAAATAGTATAGTCATGGTGAGAGAACACTTCCTCACCGCAATGCGTCATTGCGGAAGGATGTAGGTAGAAACGGGATGGCAAAGTTGTGCGTCATATGCAAACGCCGAAAAACCACTTCCGAATAATTACACATAAATATAGCTTGAAAGCGTTGGTACGGGAGTTCGGAAAAGTTGTAGTTATTGGTGTATGAACTGGTCATACAAATTTGATGAATTAAGAGTTGTATTGCAGAAGGCAATAAATTTCGAAAACGCAGTTCTAGGATTGACGGTTGTCCGTAATCTTAACGAGATCAAATTTAATCATTCCGTATCGCGAAGAACCAACGCTTGGAACGTAAAGTCGTGCACAACACTGTAAATATCTTATTGAAGTGTTAAAATTATATATTCAAAATACAGTCCCATCGTTAGTGTGAAGTTTTAGAACAGTGAACCAGCACTTTGCGCAGATTGTGCGAAACGTGGTCCTTCGAGCCGGATCTAGTAGAAGAATTCAAGAAGAACACAGAAATAGAATACAGGGTTGTTCACGATATCAGAGCTGACAAGAAAGCGACAGTCGAGGAGTGGGCACAAATCGTACGCCACAAAAGTTGTGAACAAGGTGAGAAGTATGGTAAACGATAATGCGCCAGTAAGGAAAGTCGAACTGGAACAAATGCGGCTTGTACTCGTACAGAAATTAGATACAATTTCGAAGTTGGACGATGAGATTCAGAGCTTGTTGGAAAAGGATGAAGATATTGCAGCAGGTATTGATGGCTCATCGGAATACGGCTGCGAAGTTTTGGGCGCGTTGGCCGAAATCAACGAAGCGCGGAGCACGATAGAGACAAACAAGCGAAATGAGGAACTCGCCAATACATCGGCAAGTACGGTATCTAGTGGAGCACGCTGTAGAGTAAAGCTGCCTAAACTAGAGGTGAAAAAGTTCTCGGGCAAGATACAAGATTGGCGTGAATTCTGGGACTCTTTCGAAAGTTCAATTCACAACAATGACGGATTGTCTGAGGTCGACAAATTCACCTATCTGAGGGGACTGGTGGAGGAGCCGGCCAAGTCAGCAATTTCGGGATTTGCTCTGACTTCGATCAACTATGCAGAAGCCCTGAAGGTGCTAGAACGGAGATACGGGAGCAATGTGATGGTGCAAAGGGCACACGTAAATGAAATGATGAACCTAAAGCCCGTGTACAACGAGAATAATACGACGAGGCTGCGCAAGTTCTTTGACGCCGTGGAAACAAATTATCGAGGACTCGAGGTGCTCGGTGTAAAGGAGGAGACGTACTGCGAGATAGTCTTGCCCAATCTTCTAACAAAAATACCGGACTCATTTAAACTGACGATTACCAGGGGAAGAGACTACTTAGAGTGGGGCATGAAAGATTTTGTCGACGCGTTGCAAGTCGAAGTGGAGCTGCGGGAATGCCACAAATTAGCAGTTGGGGAGAAGGAAGAAGATCAACGAAGAAGACGACGGGAACCAGGAACAGCTAGCGGGTTGTTTGCCAGCCGCAACAACCGATTGTTTTGTGCTTTCTGCTGTGGGGAGCACAAACACGAGGAGTGCAAGAAGATAACAGGACGGACAGAACGTATGCAACTTCTTCGTAAGTTTAAAAGATGTTTTATTTGTCTAAATAAAGGTCATTTAGCTAAAGATTGTCGTGCACGTATTAAATGTAGTGTATGTGGGGAGGGTCATCATGTTTCTATATGTGATAAGATTAATAATAACCAGAAGGGAGGAGGTTATCAGAAAGATGAAAGAAATAGTCGGGAAGAAAGTGGACAGGTTAGTGTAGGTAATGTCCATGTTAGTACTAGAAGCAGAGTGGCTCTTCAAACTGCGCAGGGAGTACTTATAGGAAAGACAAGAGTGCGAGTGCTTTTCGACTCAGGAAGTCAGAAATCCTTTTTGACGTGTGACGCGAAGAGGTGTGCCAAGCTTAACATTGCTAGGCGAGAATGGTTGGAAGTTAATGCATTCGGTGGGGGGAGTAACAAAGGTAGAATGACAGAGGTTGTTAATTGCGAGGTATCGGCAGTTCGAGGAGATCGTAAAATACGCGTAGAGGGGTTAGTAGTACCTCATATTTGCACGATCAAAAATGAGCATCTTGAGGTAGATAAGAACAAGCATTCGCATTTGAAGGATTTGTGGTTGTCAGACGTTAATTTGAAGCAGGACACGTTAGATGTTGATGTTTTGATAGGTGCGGATAACCTTTGGACATTTCAACAAGGTGAGATAATTAGGGCAAGGATGACGAACCCGTTGCCATCAATACTTGTTTAGGTTGGGTAATAAGCGGTCCACTGAAAGGGAGCTCGAACTTGAAAAACGCACACGTTAATTTAGTTTCGCAGATTGCAACACAAAACGCAGACAGCATTAATGGGGATGTGAGTAAATTGTGGGATTTAGAAACGCTTGGAGTAAGAGAGACTAATGACGTGCATGAAGCATTGCTTGACAAAATAGAGTTCAATGGGTCAAAATATGCAGTAAAATTGACCATGGAAACAGGGTCATGAGCACTTACCGTCAAATTATTCAAATAGTTTTGCACGCATGAAAGGGCAGATAAAGAGGTTGTCGAATTAGAAACGGGTGTTATAGAAAGGGTAGATGAGTTTGAACCTGGGGTAAATGTTCATTACCTTCCCCATCAAGCCGTAATACGTAAAGAGGCCAAAACAACCAAATTGAGAATCGTTTATGACGCATCGTCAAAAGAGGGTAAGAGAGGGACTTCTTTGAATGACTGTCTTCATGTAGGACCACCACTAACGCCGTTGTTGTTTGACATATTAATTATATTTAGGGAAAGCAGAGTGGCCTTGGTAGGAGACATAGAGAAAGCCTTTTTGAACGTAGAAGTAGACGAAGCAGACAGGAACTATTTGAGATTTTTGTGGGTGAGAGATGCGACTAATGGTAATTTAGAGGTTGTAGTGTATAGGTTTTGTAGAGTAGTGTTTGGACTAAATGCCTCGCCCTTCTTGCTACTCTTAGACATCACATTGCGCAATTTGCAGAATCAGATCCAGTGCTTGCTCAGAAATTGAATGAGGGGTTTTACGTGGATGATCTAGTTTAGGGGGGCAAGAGCGCACAGGAAACAATCGAGTTGTACGAGAAAGCGAAATTTAGGATGTCCTAAGGCGGGTTTAAGTTAAGAAAATGGCTAACGAATGATGGAAACGTGCGAGCGCTTATAAAGCAACGTGAATGTGGAAACAAAGTGACGACGACTACAGATTCAGACGACGAGACATTCACACAATGGAGTTTGGGGGCTCTAAATAACAATGACTGCGCAAAAGTTTTAGGTATAGGCTGGGATTGTGACAATGACCTGTTTACGTTTGATCTACGAAAGTTTGTAGAAGACTTAGGTGATAAGACGAAACTAACAAAAAGAAGCCTGCCTTAGCGCATTAGCAAAGATATTTGATCCGTTGGGTTTAATTAGTGCCGTTATCATTTTGATGAAGATTTTGTTTCAACAATTGTGTGTTGATAAGGTTGATTGGGATGACAAAATAGAGGGTAAGCATGCAAAGATATACTTAGAGTGGATTGAGGATTTAGTTAGGGTTCAAAGAATTAAAATTAAAAGATGCGTTTACAGTGAGGTAATCGAAAGGGTCGAGTCGTGCGAACTCCATGGATTTGGCGACGCAAGTGAGAAGGCTTATTGCGCAGTAGTGTATTTTGTTTGCAGCACAAGCTCTACCGTTCATGTAAAATTATTGGCAGCGAAAACTAGAGTTGCACCCCTTAAGAAACTGACGATTCCACGCTTAGAGCTTATGTCTGCGGTTATGTTAGCTAAATTGGTAGAGTCAGTAGGGAAAGCTTTAGAAGGGCAGGTAGGAAAATTGAAGTCAAGATATTGGTTAGATAGCATCACCGCTTTGTATTGGATTCAGAATAGAGGTGAATGGAAGCAGTTTGTGAGACATAGAGTGAATGAGATGCCTTAGACGATTTTCAGCTAGAAGGGGGACCCCATCATTAATGGTATCAGACAATGCAAAAACATTCAAAGCAACAGTCAAGACTTTAGAAAACCTCTATAATAATGTAAGTGTGCAAGAGTATTTGGGAAACAATAGGATAGAGGGGAAATTCAATCTAGAAAGAGCTCCCTGGTGGGGTGGATTTTTTGAAAGGATGGTTAGGTCATTGAAGAGGTGCTTAAAGAAGGTATAAGGAAATGCTAGATTGACATTTGACGAACTACGGACAGTGATGGTAGAAGTTGAGGCAACATTAAATTCTAGGCCATTGACTTACACGTACGATGAGGTGGGTAGTGAACCCCTAATTCCGTCGCATTTGGTGACGGGAAGAAGGTTGTTGTCCATGCCAGACGAAGTGTAAAATGAAATCAATTATATGGGGTTAGATTCTAATTTAAAAAATAAGATTTTAGAAAATCGTCGTAAACTGGCTCCTGTAGTTTGCACGGTCATTCTTTCTGGTCAATTAAATCTGCCTCTACGCGGTCATTGGGATGATTCCAAATATCACCCTGAAATAGGTAAATACTCGTGTCCAGGTGTAGGAAATTTTGTAAGGTTGCTTAACTACCGTGTTTGAGGTGGCGATGTTACTGTAGAGGTTCACTTAGAAGACCACCCTAAGAATGCTTCCTATGTTTCCAAAACCACTCAAAATGAGTTCAGAATCAGATGCTGTGGACAATACATAACTGAACAAGTTTTCTCTGAGGTTAAGAAAAGCAAGTATTATGCGATCATTGCTGATGAGACCTGCGAAATTTTTCATAAAGAACAAATGTCACTTGTGCTTCGTTTTATTGATTCTGAGCTCAATATCAGAGACGAATTCTTTCGTTTTATTCGTTGCAGGTTTAGCTGGAAAGAATCTTGCCTCTGTCATTTTAAAATGCTTTAACGAGGATGTTTTCTTCGACATAAACGATTGTCGTGGACAAGGTTACGATGGTGCTGGTGCTGTTTCTGACCACATAAACGGACTTGTTGCACATATTATAACAAGATGCTTCGTCGACCTTACTCTTCCTGTTACCCAATTACTCCAATCTTCTAGTAACGATATTGCAGATGGTTTGCATTTGATAATTCTTTAAAAAATCTAGGTCGTGCAATACGTAATGACATCGATAACTATCATACGAGATGGTATGAAATTGCTTTAGCGAAGGTCAATGTTGAAGAAGGTGAACCTCGTACATGTCATCGACAGATAAATCGCAGCAAAATCCCTGCTGACTGCACTTCAGATTACTATAAGAGATCTATCACGATTCCTGTAGTCGATCATTTAAATTTGGAGTTAGCCAGAAGATTTGAAGAATCTTCTACTAATGTTTACTATGGTTTATATCTAATTCCATCCAAATTAATTTCTTTTCTCTCTCATTCCAAGTCTGGATCCGCACGTTGGCAGGATAGGTTCACTTTATTTGCTACCATGTTTACTGATGATCTTCCAAATCCTATTGCTTTGGATGGTGAGCTTGAATTGTGGGAAACATATTGGAAATCTAAGGAGCAAGATTGTCTTCCTGATAATATTAGTTCAACCCTAAAAGCCATTAATTTTCCGGGGTTTGAGAATATCAAAGTTTTGTTGAGAATTTTAGGAATCATTCCCGTAACCTCTTGTGAGTGTTTGAGATCGTTTTCAGCTTTAAGGAGACTTAAAGAGGAAAGTCGAAGTAGGATGGTTAAGACTTGTTTAAATGGTTTGGCGTTGCTTTACATTCAGAATGACATATAGTTTCATATTCAAAAAGTTATTAATTTGTTTGCAAAGGATAAGAGAAAGATTGAATTGGCTTTTAGCTGAAAGAGAAAACCTTTTTTTATTTCACTCCATTTCATTCCATTACATAAAACATTAACTTATATCGACAGCTCTCACTTCTAACAATGTACATCTTGCTTGAAAATAAATTACTACCTCACATACTTCAACCAGCATAAGCGTTTACTATTTTACTCGAAGTTTATTTCATATGAAGTATTGTACTGGAAAATCTATACTTTGTTTTGCTTAAAGATGTAGATTGTTTTTTCTTCTATTGTTGCAAGATCTGTGTACTACATTCCGGGTTTGTCATGGACTTAAGCATGTTTTGTGTTTTGATGGTGTGTCTTCAGTAATAATCAGCATGCTCACAACTGCTTATTATCGTGGCTCATCATAAAGAATTTTTTTAAGGTTTGGTTTGCAAAGACCTGGCAGTCCATGTCGGATGCTACAGTGAATATAAAGTGCATTGATCAACTGTATTCTAGGCATGCTGATGAGATCTGATATTGAGCGAAACGGCTTAAGTTCTATAGTCTTAAGCTATTTTTGGAAAAACTCCTTTTCAGGGGGTGCATGCCCCCGGACGCCCCTAGGCAACGAACGCCTTTGGCCATTTTGACTAACAAGAAAAAAATCTTGGATCCGCCCCTGTCCTTTACTTACGATTTTGGATGTAAATTTCTGCTGAGAAAACTCAAAACAATGTTGGCTTGCTTTTGAACATCAATGACTCTTTCGCGAGATCGTCTTTTACGATTGATATACGGTCACGATTCCCTAAGCACTATAGAAATCATTGCTAAAAGTCCTTCGGCAACAACAATTTTAGAAGCATCTATCTGCTTACCATACGCCATATTAACATAAATCGCATCACACACTCGCATAAATTGACTTTGATATATTACATTCATGCATGCACTTCAGTTGTCCTTTACTTACGATTTTGGATGTAAATTTCTGCTGATAAAATTCAAAACAATGTTGGCTTGCTTTTGAACATCAATGACTCTTTCATGAGATCGTCTTTGCCAAGCATTTACAATTCATCCATAAATTTTCCACCCTCTTGAAAAATTCACAGTCAGCATTCATGTCAATATATGAATTTGTAAAGATTTCCATAAATTCCATCTGATTGTAGTTTAGTTTTTATCATGCTTTAGAAAATTACTAAGAAACGATCAAACATTCAATTTAGACAGTGAGCTTGACTATGTTAGTTCAGTTGGATATCAGTCGAAATAGGTCAAACCAATCACAATAAGACAAAAATTTAAATGAACCAATTACACGATAGCAATTGGACTCCCTTATCGTCCGGCCACCACGATAATCGGTCGAGATTATTCCAGATCGTCCACTGATCTGGCTATTGACCAAGGGAATGGCTTAAATAAGTATTCTTGAACTCCGTTATCGGTCGAACCAGTCGAGCCACCCCGCTTATCAGTCAGCCAGTTAATGTAATTCTAGATATGCTTTTATCTACTGATCTGTTTACTAAGGTGGTACTTGTTTAAGTTTTTATACATAACACAGAATTTTGACGATGAAATCCAAACGATTACAGAACGAAAATTTAATGATCAAAAAAATTGTAATCATTAAATTTGGTAAATAATTTTTTAACTATAAACTTCAGTCGTGCGACTGCTTTGACCTAGATTGCAAGCATACCTTTGTACGATAAGTGAAGACGTTTGGGTGAGTATTTTAAGAGAAGCTGCTGGTAAACGTCAAGTTCCCCAGTGTGGTGAAATTCTGTTAGTTTGTTAAGTCTTTAAATAGTTTTTCGTTGTGAAGCAAAGGGTGTGATGTACAATTTTAGTTATGATTGTTGTTGCACGTTGTTCTTACTGTAACCTTGCTGCCAGTTGTAGATTTTTCAATATCACAAAGAGAACTGCATGTTTTGCAATTGATAAACAACTGTTCAACCATACCTTCAAACACAATAAATGTTTTCTCATTGTGTCATATTCATTATCAGTGCCAGTTTTGGGGCATATATAGTCCTCATCACTTTCTGATGACAAACAACTTTCTGAAAATGTTTCATCATTGTTAACTTTGTTGAGTAATTCTGCTTTTTTACGTTCAATTACTTCATTTCGGGCCATTATTTTTTCACATTTTAATTAAGTGTTTAAGCTCATATAGTGATTTTTTAAGTTTTAGCACAAGCTTAGGCCTATTTTCGCGTGTTTTGAAATATTTTTTGTTGCTCAATATATATTTCACGTTCAAGTTGAGCATGAAGGAATGCAGTTTTAACATCCATTCGATGTATGATAACATTATAATGTGATGCAAGTTGCATTTTAACTCAACACTTGCGGATGTTATTTTTGCAGTAGGAGAGAAAGTTTTTTCATAGTAAAGCCCATGGACTTGACTAAGCCCTTTAGTAAGACAACGAGCTTTGGATGTGTCTCCACCCTTGCTATTTACATTTATGTTATATACATCCATTTCACCTCTACTAAATTTTTACCCTCCGGTAGGACTGTCAATTTAAATGTGTTCATCGACTACTCCAATTTAGGTGCCTTTTTAGATTGCATTGCATCAGAAAAAGTCTTTGATAAACCAAACTCTTATAACAATAGTCTACATTTACATGGCACGCGGAGTTATTGTATCTAAAATATTCAGGGAACTTACTATTCCTGTATGAGCAAGTCCTAATTGGCTACTCATTTTCTTCTCTCTTGTCATTATAATCAACGGAAGCAGAATCAGAGTCATTGGTAAACTTCAACTCATACCAAGTTTCTGATGAATCTATAACTAATAATGTACATTTGTCTCAGTTTTGGAATCTACAGACATAATCTCATTTGTTATCTCAAAATCAGTTTGTGTAGCATGTTTTATACTTACATATTTTACAAACTTCACAAGCCTATGTCTGAAAGCCTTTCTACTAATAGGGTTGTAGACAAGATAAGCAGGACTATTTTGTCATATTCAACAAATAACCCCTTTGAAAATTGTGAATCTAATTTCTCATGATTGTGCTCATAAGAAAAATATTCTGAACCGAATACCAACATTTTTGCTAAATTTGGTTTGTTACCTGTGAACGCAGATCACGGTGTAGTTTTGTTTCTATTGTTAATTGATCTATTTCAATATGAGCCGCTTTTTGAACAGCATATGGCCATAATTATATTGGTAACTCTGTTGCAAACATTAAACACCTAGTCAATTCAAATAATGTAGGCCATTGCCTCTTAGCTGTGCCATTTTGATGTAGTGAATCAGAACAACAAGTTTCAGGTTTAATTCTTCTTTCTCTCAGCAATGATTTGAACTTAATACATGTGAATACTATACCATTGTCATGTCTTTAACATTTTATTTGACCATACGCTGCTATAAAACATGAAGTTTCTTTGTTACAACAAGAGTTTTAGTCTTCTCTTTCAGGAACTACACAAGACACAACCAGAGTAATTGTCAGTGAATGCAGTACAGTATTTAAAGGGGTAGTCAGGCCTTAACACAACTTTCGCTCATATGAAAGTGTATATTGTTCTTACCTCTCTCTGAAATCCTAGGTTTCCAATTCAAATTTAACTCGAGAAACAATGCCTTAAATGTGTGTATTTTGCCTGTTCGATCGCCATTGTGTACATGCAAGCGAAGCCGCAGTCCAGCAGCGGTTTTCGTCGTGACGTCACTGCGCGGTGATCGTTGTCAACATTAGACAAAATATACTAGCAAAGTAGAAATTACGCATAAGCATATTCATCGTTGCATTTTATTTTCTAAGTTTTTAAATTATTTTGCGCAATGGATACGGATTACTCAAACGATTCCTCTAGTAATTATTCTGGAAGCAGTGTTTTAAACTACGAAGAAATGATTAACGATCAAAACATGATTCAACCATATGCTTATGAGCCAATTGAAACAGACTCTAGCGACGAGCCTATGGATGACTCCGACGAAGTTCAGCTGTTGTAACAATGAATGAAGACTCAGCACAATTTGAGGGAATAGATACTCCGGACTGTATTACAGATAATCCTGTTTTTCGAAATCTTTGTTTAAATTATTGGGTATTACGACTGGCATGGAGTGAGTACAAACAACACTATGGTTCAAGAGCTGAAGAAGGACCGGAACACAAAAGACAAAGACATGTGGCTTACAGGCAACTGGTTCGATGGTGTTGGAATGTATTGGGCAAGGAAATTAGAGTACCACTACCATCTTTTGCTGTTAGCTACATTCGAGCACATTTCCAACCACCAGGTCTAGAAGAGGACTTTGTCTTTGAGGGTTTTAAATTCGCTGATGAATAATAATGGTAATGTAAACTATTATAGCCATATTTATAAGTGTCGTTAATCATGAATTGCTAATAAATAAAAACATAAATTGGATTTAGTAAATGAACAATAAATACAAATTATAATGGCAAAGCCAAACCAATTCTTTATTTGTGCTATGCAAGGATTTTGGTGTACATAATTAAAAGTGCCTTTGCTAATGAATTTGCAAACAAAAAATTGTGCTACTTTACTATTAGAGATTCTCTATTATTAATTATAAATATTGATATATACATAACTATTTTTGGGGACTGTTTACCCATTCTTGATTTGTGTGCTTGTAAAACACTTTCTTTGTTTGGCTTTTCTATCGATACAATATTTCTTGGAATGTTTGCTGGTAAAGAAATCTTGTTATGTACATTTTTTACATTAAAACAGCAGACATCTTCCATCATACCTTGCACAAAAGAATATGACTTACTCACCATAATTGGCTTGGCTACCCAATTTTTTTCGCCCTTTTGGGAACACGATAAGCACAAGTGGAAGGAGGGAAAATACTTTATTAAAAGTGCTTTTCGTATAAAGCTATGCTTGCAAGAACCAAGTTGGCAGTGATAGACCACAATGTAAACACTGGCAGAAAACAAGCACAAGTTCAATGTGGAAAGCAGC